TGTATCAAGTTAGTAAGTTATTAAGCAGCCTGGCGATACAAACAATTACAACTGCATCGGAAAGTTGAAAGGCTGGAACAAACACGACTGGGTGAACGGATGGGAGATGGTCAGAATCTCCCCCGCCCTACACAACTGATGTGGAAGTTCCCTTTCTGTCTATCTGTCTATTCACTTTTGAGTGGCTTTTCTGACACCTCTTTGGATGTTGTTATTCAGAAACACCACGCTACACTGGACATTCTTGATCTACCCATTCATCTTGCATTCGTCCCTTTACCCATCGTTCCACCGCCCATCTGACCTTGGTCGAGTATTCATTCAACTACTTTGACCTCACAGGGCATGTCGATGGGTGGGGTGCGCCACGGTGCGGACATCCGATGTGACAACATGTCCCGCGAGGGTCAATCGACTATCACTCTGCAGTATGGCACTAACAAATTTGCCACCCAATCAGGCATGACTTCGATCGGTGCAGTTCGTCACATCGCCGATATTCGTGTCGGCGCCATGTCCGCTGAAGGCGCCTCGCATTTAGGTCTGCAGATGGGCCCAGGCGCGAAACAAGTCGCTACTCAGTCTGGCATGACCTCGTTCGGCGCTATCCGTCACATCAACGACTCGCATTAAGTCTGCGAAGGGGCACTTTTTTGCTCTTCGTTTCTCTCTCGCCTACTTCCATCCTCCCATCCACCACTTTCGGAGATCCAGGCACAAAGAAATTTATTCTCTGACTACTATTTGTTCTTCGAGGTTATTTATCGACGCTTCTCTCCTGTTCGCCCTCCTGCCTCACAAAGTTGAGTGAGTATTTAGTACTGCTGACATGACTTTTCACGTTTGTTGACTTTTTTTCTCCTTAGAAACCGATTTCCTTCTCTTCCTCGTTTCGTTATCCCCTTGTGTTCATTGGATGAGTTCACAATAAAAGGGTTTAAATGAATTCATTTTTTTTTTTAAATAAGACGTTTACAAATGTTACGTACTTAGGTGTATGTGGGCGCAGACACAGAGGGGTGACCGGAAGACCCAAGAAGACGAAGGCCTTGAAGTAGAAGTCTTTATCGTAGCAAGTCGAAATCCGGCTGGGGGCAAAGTGTGCCTGAGAATGGGGTCCATGAGGGGTCTTGATTTGCGCTTTCACGTCTGCTTAATAGGAACCCAGGCGGAAGGGAGATGGAGGCGCTGGAAAAAAGGTTACCAAGGTACTTGGATCGTCGCGAAGGTCTTTTAAAAGCACTGCATAACAAATAATATGCGACTAATTATTTTACATCTGATAAAAGCGGGGGGTACAGATGTATCGTTTCACGGCCCTTTGATATATCGAGGAATAGATGGAAAAGGAGTGGATGGAGGGATGAATAGATGCGGGATGGATGGGAGTGATGGATGGATATGGAATGGGTGAGATGGATGGTTAGGGGATGGATGGATTGATAATTGAATGGACTAGGAATGAATAAATGATGGATGGATGGCCGCCAACGTTCAGGGCGTTGTCAAAACAAATATTCCCACTGATTAAGAAGCGGGGGGAGGAAATGGAGCCTTCCTGTTTCTGAAGGGCCGCCTAAACTGATCAACTGCATTCGTGCCACCTCCATCTGTTGAGGTTCGCCCGGGTATCGAAACAAGCGCCTTGAATGCATGTGGTCAGGTTCCTCGATGCGTCGAGATAAAACGCTTATTTCCCTCCAAAGACATTCAGG